AATAATAATAATAATAATAATAAACATTTTTTCTGTCTTTAATGTAGCATTCAAATCTACCATTTTTAATTCAGATGCAGAAAATGCCGTAGAAAAGACTAAGGAAGTCCACGTCTCAAAACGGTAAGTCTTTCTTGGGTGTCTCTGAGACGTGACGTATCTGCATTTCAATCCCATTCTCATCATTTTTGTGTGACCTCGTGTTACTGATTGCGCATCACACACATCTCACCTAACATATTTTGACGCAAATAAAGAAAGAAAGAAAGAAAGAACGAAAGAAAGAAAGAAAAAAGTACATGAAACTCGAAGCGATAGAAAATTAATCTCGAGAGCTACTGTCTTTGTTCATATTTATCCTTTAGAAGAAATAACAGACATTAATTATTAAAAGATTGTACATCAGAAAACCAGCCAAACTGCAGACGATGCAACAAGGTGGGGGTCAATGGATTTGGTGTATTTGATCATCTGAACAATACCTGAAGTTGCAATATTTCCCAAAATAGATCCCTATTTAAAGAGATATAGTCAGTGGCATTTTGGGGGTCAATCAACCAAAAATTAAGCTGAAAAACAGAGCAATTTGGATATGCCTTACTGTTTATACAAGTGCAACAAAGTGATTTAGTTTGGTGATGCTTTAAAACGTAAGGATAGGGGATTAAAATGAGATACCGCATATTGACATTGTTTGTTTCTATGGCAAAGAAACGATTTTTTTTCTACGGGCTACGAATCCCACCCTATTTGAACACCTCCTTCTATGTTTGTCAATATCTTCATCTTCATCGATGGATTTGGAGGAAAGTAGAGTTAGAAATAATGACAAACTATAGCGAGTGCGGTGCAACAACCAATAAAATATATCCATGGATATTCTTATGATTATTTTTCTCTTAATTGTTGTCTTTTGTCCAACAGTGCGCACTCACCATGTTAACTTTTATATTATTGTCTGGGTTGACATTTCCGTTACACGCATTCTCGCCCGTTTTAAGCTATCTCGAATGATATCCATCGGACTATGATCCTATCATATTAGGACCGTTGCTGAATGCTATATTCTTATTTGTAGTGCCTTCACCGGCGTGGTGCTCCGTGGTGCTCTCAGAGCCCTAAGGTCAAGGCCGGCGCGGGCCGTGTTGCGCAAACTGGCCCAATACTACGGGAAGAGAAGCAACGTGTACGAGATCATTGAGGTTATAGAAGAAGTGGCCAGAATAGTTGGAAGATATGATAGGGCGTTCTCCAGTCATTTCATGGACGCGGCTGTGCGGCTCGGTTTTAGCCGTGACTTTGGCCTGGCGGTATACAACCTTGTCTATTGGCTGATATAGATAGAGTTGGCTGCAGTACTGTAGTCCTGCGATATATTCAACCGACAGGCACCTATCTGTTCAATTGAACCATTAAACTCGCTTACTTGTAGTTAAAATTATGTTCTAGTTACATGTACTTGTACAAGTCGACTTGAATATTAGAATAAAACTTCTAGCATGCAAAATGATGAAAATGTGCATGATAATTTCTGCAAAAATACAGTAGGTATCGAGGAAAGTTGGTCTAAATTTTTAGTCTGTTTTGAGCAAAGTTAAATCAGTACTACATGTAGTCAACTGAAATGGAATGCCTGTACTATAAATAGAGAGATGACTGACCAAAAAGTCACTTGAATATATAGACTATTTCCGTTTTTTACCAAAATTATGATTTAAAAGTTACGACCAAATTCAGTGTTATTTATTTATTTATTAGTTATTGAAAACGATACCAGCATATATACTAGACCAATAACACGTTGTTCTGCTCTTTTCGAATTAGTTCTTATATCATAACGTAAATTCTAATGGCCAATTTACGAAATCATCCGCTGTTTGATAACTATCAGAGTTTTTCGTCTTTTGTAGTTTTCTCACAATCAAATAATCTCACTTACCTCATTTAGTTTATTAAACTGTCAATTAGAAAATGTCACTTTATCATTTGATGTCAGGAGAAGAAAGATATTTAAATAGGTTTGCCTGATATAATGCATCATTAGATTAATTAACTGCAAAACCCGAGTACATGAAATTCCAAATTATTGACTAAATTTAAAAAATCGTGTGATCACAAGGGGGTCTATGACGTAACTGAGAAGTTTGTATGGGACTGGGATAAATAATGTTCGCCTTGAAACAGTAGACGAGGATAATTGTACTAATACATGTACGAACGCTATATATAAATATGTAAGAAACAGATATGAAAAATGTGTGTGGTTCTGTCTTGTTGGCTTCGTTATATTGCGTTTCTATAGCTAGTTGTTGTTGTTGATGATGATGTTGTTCACATTGGTGATGGTGATATTGCTATTGTTGTTGTTGATGATGCGTTGTTGTTTTTGTTGTTGATGATAATGATGTTGTTATTGTTGATATTGTTGTTACTAGCGGTTGATGTCGTTGTTAATGATGTTGTTATTATTGACATTGTCTGACACTGTCTGTCGGGATATGCTATTGCAACTAAACAAAAACCACCCAGTCCGTTCAGAATGAGGGGTAAATTGCCACCAAAACGCATTTTTCAAGGCCCTTAGCGAACACCAAACTGGTTTTAGCTGGTTAGAATACCAGACGACCTCAGGGGAACCCACTGTAAACAGCAAAACATCGTTGTATGTTTCTCTAATGAATTGGGGACCCTGATCGTTTCTGAGTTGAACACTGAAACCTCGTGACTTTCTTTATTGAGGTCAGCTTTCACCTGTACCGCTCAACCAGTCAAAACAGAGTTTACAGACATCCAGAAGAGGCCAACGACTAAGCGTGTGCCGCGTCTAAAGTGACTAAGGTCATTAACAGCGTCAGTAATTGGAGTGGATACCACATTGGTGCCAAAACACCAATGATGGTCACCCACGAAAACCTGAACCAGATCAAATAAAGGAATAATCTGAGAACCACTTAACTATCATTTGATAGGGGGCACCTTAGGAACAATTTTAGGTTGCACGGTGGAATTCCCGGTACACACATAGCACTTTTAATAGCAGATAACTTACAAAACCAAGGGAATGAGCAGCTACCTTGGTAATCAAAATCGCCATATTTGAACCACATAGACAATATGTGGGTAGGCCATTACTCGCCGAATCAATGGCCTACATGTCCTACAACAAAACTGGACCAAATTGGACAGATTTTGACCGATGCCTGGAATGTTATTCCAGATTGAACTCTAAAAACCTAACCCAAGGAATGCCTTGCCACTTGAGAGCGCTGCTAGCAAACAGAAGAGGTCAAGCGTAACAGCGACCGTTACTGTGACTAGACACTGACATGGGGGTTCTTTGTGAGGCGTGTATCTCTTTTACAGAAAATAATTTGGAAAATATGGAGATCCAAAATATCTCTTTTAATTGTTGTCGTATGACATAGAATAGGCAATGTGTTTTTGTTTGCTTCTCTGGCGAATTCCATTAATGAACTGATGTCACAATGATATCAAAGAGATAATTAAAAGTTATTAAAACACGATTTTAATCTTTATTTTCATTTATCAGTCAGAAAAATAGAAAAAATTGATGAAAAATGATTTGGAAAAAAATATTCCATATTAAATGTCAAGTCTGTAGTACAGGAGACTCGAAGCGTTAGAAAATTTATTTTTGAGAGCCACTGTCTTTGTTCAAGTTAATCCTTTAGAAGAAATAAAGAGAAATTATTAATCATAACAACTTTAAGTTGTGTTTGTATGTTTAATGTGTAATTATCTCGAGCATTTAACTATATTAATTTATTTTGATTAAAGATATCTTTCAGCCTTATACTAACACAAAATATAAATATAACACACGGAACATCTAAACTGCCATTATACCTCATTATATTTTTTCTCCAGCGCATTCGCCGCTGCAACCCTGAGGGCTGCTCTACGGGGGCTGAGGTCCAAACCAGCGCAGACTGTGCTCAGAAAATTAGCCGAATACTACGGTAAAAAGTCCAGCATCAGCAGAGTTTCCGACGTGATTGAAGAAGTCCTTTCTGTAATGGGAAAGTACGATACAGCATTCAGCTCTTACTTCGTGGATGCCGCTGTGCGTCTGGGACTGGGCCGCGATTTTGGGCTCGCAGTGTACAATTTGATTTGGTTTTTGGTTTAATTTTGTTGAATTCTGTTTGTTTGGAAAGGCTTCATATGGAGTGATATTAAATGAGTGTTTCAGTCTAACTCGTTTTTTATTATCATTTTAAATCCAGGTCCTACTAAAGAAGTTACTTTCGAATTTTTGGTGTGTGTGTGTGTGTGTGTGTGTGTGTGTTTGAGTTGAACACACACACACAGAGAGAGAGAGAGAGAGAGAGACTGAGAGAGAGAGTGTGTCAGAGTCACGACCCATCAGTATCAAACATGTAAAATATCCAGATTAATTTTACTCAGGGTGGATTCGCGCGTTTCATTATGATTTCTAATGTGAAATATTATCTTTGTTCATTCAACAGTTCATTGATCTACCAGTACTTCCATTATCTTCATTTTACATCCTAAACCATGAAAAGACAATCACATGATTATGTGGATCACTTATGAAACCCTTTAATAACTTGTTGAATCATTCTATTAATGTTAAACACAGAAATGTACAAACACAGAATACGTGTCATTTATTGAGTAAAAAGTACTAGTCCATTTCATAACGACCCTGAACATAACTTTTGTTCGAAAAGATAACCATTAATTGTCAACTGCAATGAAGATTTGACATTATAACTGAAAAAAAAAAATTAAAGGGAGGTCTCGTTGCCTTTTTGACGAATGTGTATAACTGCAAGTTCTGTAAATCAAAGCAGAGTACTGGCCTTACATTCAACAACATGGTGCGAAAAACACCCGTTTCAAGCAAAATTCTAGATGGGCTGTTCTATCTCAGCATTCTTAATTTCACATACACTGGTACATCTACCTCATTATTCACGTCTTACTATCAATAATAATACTAATAATAATAATAATGACGATTAAAGAAAAATCCGAACAGTTCATTTCTAAGCTCTCTCCAGCTTAAACTGCTGGTTCGCCCCTCCGTGTCTGTCCCACAGTTTCACCTCTGCCCCCTGGTGGGTGGCGTTATTCATGACGTCAAGGGCATAGTTGCCAAGTTGCGTGACGATGGTACCGTCCGCGTTTGGTATCCAACGCTGATTTGCTCCGCCATTGAAGTCCCATAAGATGACGTCACATCCGGGATAAGCGTGACCATCCTTGACGTCAAGCACCTTACCTAGAATATAGAGTAACTTGTTCATGATTGAGATATGATATTTTTCTTTTTCTTTTCTTCTAATTTTCTTTCCTTATTTTTCTGCCACACGGAATAATGGCTAAAATCTTATAAAACTAATACAGTGTATGAAACCCAATACAACGTAAGTGCATGCAGGCAACAACTAACGGTTTTGATTACATATTGTTCTCAACTTAATATGGATAGGGCCTCTCTTTGGGATCTACTGGTACATGTCAAATTGCAGTCAGTGCTTAAGGATCTAACACTATTTTTACAATGTTATTACAGTAACCATAGCAAAGTGCTGTTTAACAACTGTTATGTACAAACAGACACCCTGTCAGTGCCTTTGCACCACTAGCCTTGTTTGCACTTCAATATAACCAGAAGTGGCCAGTGGCGATAACATATACCAATCCTCTAAAGTTCAAGGATCAGGGCAGGAATAATGCAGATTTATCAAATAATTCAGGTCAACTGACATTCATCAAATCTACCTTCGGACTGGACAGGTGCCCCCTCCCCCTGATTGTCCTTGATATCTATTTATCAAATAAATTAGTCTGTCATAGGTCTGGGATAAAGGCTAGGGGGTGTCTTGTTGTGACCATCAAATAGGGGATCTAATTATATGCATAAGTAAGCAATAGAATAATAAACACAAGATCAATACAATATTAATAAATTAAAAGATGCTCAAGAAATACTAGTACTCATTAAGTAAAGGAATGAATGTATAAAAAAAAATAAAGCCGACTAAAATGACATTGAACATACCTTAATTAAACAAATAAATTTTATGAATGAATATCATTAATAAATAAATAAATAAATAAATAAATAAACTCACCGTGCATTTTACTTTTAATCACGCCGTCGTGGTATGTCCAGAGCTGGTTGTCTCCCCCGTTCTGCGGCCACAGGCAGATGGTGGCCCCGTTATGGCGGGCACAGTCCCTGATGTCTAGCACCATCCCCGTTGGCTTGTGTTTTACTATATAATATGCACCGTGATGGTGGCTCGCATGATGACTGTGGTCTGCACCCTGGAGGATAATCAAGGATTAAATGAATAAACTCAAAGATGAGGAGATGAGGTTAATCAATTTTTTAGAATAACATGAATTAACGCAATGATAAAATGAAGTGATATTTAAAAATACAAATAAAAAAAACGTTTTTGTCTAGAAAGTTTATAATAGGTTCGAAAGCTACTTTACTGCGTTGGCTTTGTATGGGAAATTGGAAGGGAAATTTCAAACACAGTTTTTGCAACTGTTTCGAGCACTATTTTTACCATGTTTAGACTAATACATGTACTAATACAAACGCGTGCCGCATGCACTTTTTTTCTGCTTATTACAAACAAATTTTGCTTTAAAACAACGAAAAAATGTGCGCAAGAGTGAAACAATATTCAGTAATTAAGCTGAACTAAAAATGAGTCAAACTGAATATAAAAGTAGCACTCACCATTGTTCTGTGTATATTCAATTAGAATTCCACAACTCAGAGCACTTGTTTGCAGCTGTAGTGTTTGCAGCAGAGTGGGGGGCGTGTGCCTTTAATACAAGTGGACAGCATACATTGTTACTTCATATCGAGGTCTGTTTATACGAGATCCTTTCTGGACCGAAAACCGGGTCTAAGTTGCGTCTTTAGACGATTTGGGACCGATTTGATGAAATCACCGTCGAAGTACAGTAAAAAGCTTGGTTAGCTTATTTTTTTCTCTTCGTCGCATTTTTTATTGCAGAAAATATAATGAAAAAGTATAAAATAATAAATTAACTGATAAAATAATTAACCTGTATGTAAACACTATTAGTGATACCAGTGGCGAGAAAATAATTTTATTGAGAGAAACAGAAAATAATAATAATGAGAAAATAATAATAATGAAAATTATAAAAAAGTATTCATTGAAAAAACAACGACACATAGCTAAGTAATGAATAACTTCACGACTAATGAGAATAAAGTCAGAAAGAAACTAGAAAAGCACTTCGAGAGCCGGACCTCCGCCAAGGCAGCAATTTTTATTATTATTATTATTGATTATTGATTGATAATTGATCCAGATCACCACCAAAAACTAATTATCTGTTCCTTCGCCCACTTCTGACACTTCCTGAAAATTTCATCAAAATCGGTCCATAACTTTTTGAGTTATATTGATGACAGACAGACAAACAGAAAGACAGACAGACAGACAAACAAACAGGGGTGAAAACATAACCTCCTTGGCGGAGTTAATAACCAAAAAGATAAAAAGAGAAAATATAGTTCGCTTATTCTTGGCCATGCTTATTTCACTTGAAATGAATATTTAAGGAAGTCAGTTACGATGACGACGGTCTGAGCAAGGCGTCCTCCCCCAGTTTAATCAAAACGGACTTCCATTTTAATATACAGTAAGGTTTCTGTGTAATCAGGTGTTTGTTAATGACGCAAGTTGGTCCTAATTTCGGTGTAAATGAACAGCCCCCGTCTGATGCTACCCCTATCAATGAACGATCAGAGCGCTATCTGTTTGCAGGAAGTGATAACGACGTCAGACTCATGTGATTTAGGATTGTGAGCAGCAATTCAGAGTCGTGTGATTTAAACGGGGTGAGGAAGAAGTGGGCGATATTTGAGTCATTTTAAGCATCATGCATTTAGTGATTTTTTTCTTTTGTTTAGACGTGACAGATTACAAGGAAGTCTGCGGTTTCAAAATGTCGAATAGATTTTTTGAAAATCTGACAATATCCATGGTCCATGTAGTCTTATTTTATATTGCTATACTTTATTTTATTTTGATGACGCAGTGCAAATTGATGGAGAGAAAATAAGTTCTGAACATAGTTGAAAAGTATATATAAAATGCTAATAACATGGTTGATTTTCAAAGTTGATCAAAGTGACCCAAATCGATCATATATAATTCGAACAAATTATACATCACAAATATATGATAACAGGAATATATTAATTAGCCTCACCTGATAGAATATATCAATATCAAAGTGTATTATATCGTGTAAACTGAAACAAGTTTTTTTTTTTTCTCAGTAAAGACGGAGGGGGGCAGTTATAAACACTATCTACAAAGTTAAAAGTGGCAACCTAAACTTCTCCCCCCCCCCCCCCAACCCCCCTCTTACCCCCTCTCCTTAACAGTCGCATTACACAAGACGCTACGTATCAAGTAGACACGCTATTCGGGTCACGTAAATCTGGTAAATATAGGCCTACCTACTTTAACATGTACCCGTGGCCTTGATGATGGCACGCTGACCGAGATACGCAGACCACGTGACTGTGATACAGCACCTAGTTGCACTGGGAACGGCTACACACCCCCTGACTGTTGAGGAAGAGATTTAAAGGAGGCTGGATCCAAGTTGAACCATCCACTAGCATCTGGGAGTATTTCGATCTTAACCCAAAATGGTAAGGGGCAGAAATAGTTTGAAAACTGGTCGTTGTTTTCGTATTTAATAGTAAACAACTCAGTGAAAGACGTAAATAAAAAAAAATAGAAAATCGATAGTTATACGTTAAAGACTGTAGGTTAAGTATACAAAGTATATCGCTGTGATCGTCGCAATATTAAGCGTTGTTGTCACCCTTACTCCATTACAATGTACATGTACCGACATAGCCTGTATGACGTACGTGACAGACGCTTTGCTTCATCTTAGCAATGGTAAAAATACACATGTTTATGTTTTGTCTGCTGAGGTGGGTCTTAGGGTCGGGTTGACATGGGGGTGGGGGGGGGGGGGGGGAGAGGGACCATGTCTGCTCTAGAGATGCCCTGCTCAAAAAGCTTAAGATTGACCTACCCGAATTGTCATTGTAACGCAAGCCAGCTGAGGTTATAAAGGGTTTATTGACATACGCACACATAATAATACAATAATACGGGGCACACAGCCGTAGAATGGTATGGCAACGTAACATGGTGCAGTGTAGGCCTACGTAGCGGAATGTACATAACGGAGTACTGTAAAAGAGTGGAACGCAACAAGTTCATTTTCGAGCCATATGTACCCATCCCACTGCCACCTTACCCCCGCAACATTAATTTCACGAAGCGATATTAGGCTGGTTATTTGTTCTACGGCTAAGAACCTGTTATCAGTGTAATGACTGAGAAAGTGAAAGCGGAAGTATTAGTAGGACTCATTAAAGGCTTTCAAAAGAGTTGTACTTTATTGCGTTAAACATTCCTCGTTGTGACAATTTATCAGATCTTAATCAGTGCTACTTATACGTCGATATGAAAAAGAATATGAGTTGTAATACAATTGGTATAAAATCTCAATTAAGGGTTTACCCCTCTGTGTCTCCGTGAAAAGTATTAATTCGCTAAGTCAAATAGTTGTTGTTGACATAGTAAGCTTTTCTGTTGTTAGGAAGCTATTTCGTGTGTAGCAGCAAAATATGTGTTGAGGGCAGCTTCTGCGTGTAAAATATTTAAAAAATTTTCTCACTTGACATCAAATCTCTATAGAAGAAGAGGGGGGGGGGGGCAATGGATCATGCCCCTCCCCCCTTCATTAGATTCAGAGGCGCCATTCCCCCTCCCTCCCCCTTACCAACGTTATAATTGATAAGGACATGAAAGTTTAAAATGGAAAGAGAAACTGGAAGGGGAGCTCTATCTAATAATGACAGCAAATAAACACGGAAACTTCATTATTTGCTATTTGAATATTTATTTATTCTAATTCATTTACATTATTTACTTATCTGTTTATTCAGTTATTGATTTATTCGATGATATACAAAAGAGAGAGAGAGAGAGAGAGAGAGAGAAGGGGGGAGAGCTTGTTTTTATATCTTTCTAACAGAGAGAGAGATTCCCTTCAACAATAGCAAACGCCCATTTTTTTCTGTTACAGTGGGGAAATCGCGGACATCACGGACATCACGGACATCACGGCTTCCCAGGTCCTTATCCTGGCCAATACCCTCCCCCTGAGACATATTACTACATACGTCACAGACAGACGGGAATGGTGATAGACATCCGGGACTGTGCCCGCCATAGCGGGGCCACCATCTGCCTGTGGCCGCAGAACGGGGGAGACAACCAGCTCTGGACATACCATGACGGAGTGTTAAGGAGCAAGATGCATGGTGAGAACAGGCTATCAGTGTTATTTATTTATTTGATTTTAGAAGGTTTGTGAAGGTTATGAACTTACAGTTATTTTTTTATCTGTCTGTATGCCTTCATAATGCTGGGTTTTTGTGAAGAGATGTTGAGATTGGTTGGGAGACGCTAAGCTTAAACAAAAAATGGGGCATCCGCCAGAACCTTTCTACCTGGATTCATATTTGTCTTATTTTATTCTTAAAACAGAAGTGCGAATTAAAAAGCCACGCGGCATTTAGTACCGCATTTGTAATAGCTAATAATTCACACAATATTTAATCCCCTGTATCTTATCACTATGTTGGTGAACTGAAGGTCAGTGGGACCTATTGTACCTTTGATAATAGGATGTGTCTTTTGAAATGTGTACTGATACAGCGTGTTAGGACACATTTGGTACAATGTGCAGAATGTCCATTGGTAAACAAGCATGCACCACGCGTGGGTGGGATGGGGCGTTGGGTGCTACTTCAGTGAGATTGGGGGGGGGGCACTGTGCGAGAGTCCCAGTACATGTAGTTGATGCCATTTTTAAATTGCTGTAAAATAAGGTTTATTTTACAGTAATTGAATTTTAATTTTGTAGTATTTGTCTAATATTTTCTTGTGGTTATGTAGAAATTAGGTGGTGTTGGGTTGGAGTGTGTGTGTGTGTGTGTGTGAGAGAGAGAGAGAGAGAGAGAACATGTAATAAAGCGCAACATGTAATTCGTCATTTTAGGGAAAGTCCTGGATGTGAAAGACAACAGGCCGCACCCTGGGAATGATGTCATTTTGTGGGACTACAACGGCGGCAATAACCAGCGTTGGCGCGTGGAGTACGACGGCACCATCGTCAGTTACCTTGGCAACGTGGCCCTTGATGTCATGAACAACGCCACTCACCAGGGGGCAGAGGTGAAGCTGTGGAACAGACACGGGGCGCCCAACCAGCAGTTTGTGCTTGATCGGGCGTATTAAGCTTAAAGGACGTTCTAACTTCTTTATACAGTGTCATAAAGTGTTAGAAAGACTGCTATTTTATTGTTGATTCTGGATTGAAAGGACATTGACAAACTTCACGTAGAATCCAGATATGGATAGATGTTTAAAAGTATTTTTATAATTTGACACCGAGGTTTGAAGGTTAAATGATAAATAACTGTAAAAGAGAATAGTAATAAATCCTTTTATAACAAATTTGATTTCACCATTTTATTACATTAGATTTTATTTTAAAAAAGGAATACAAGCACTACACTGGGATAACTGTAGGAAGCAAATCTCTTCTTATCTATGATTATTTTTTGAAATTCTTAATTTGCTTTGATAAATAATTTCACTTATTTCTCACAAAATATTTCTCTCATATGGGGATAAGGATAGAAGATCGCTGATAATCATAAATATGAATATATGTAATACATGAACTGCATCATTCTAACAAATGAAGGTTTAAATCAGTAATCTGAAGCCTACTAGTAATCTCAAGGCTCCCCTTCGATGAATTGGGACTAATGATATATTGTATGAACCCTGACGCACAATCTTTACCATTTTCAACTTTCTTTCAATACGATATAAGAATTTCTAGTGACTCTGAAGACTGGGTTCACGGGGTCTATTGTCACGGGGTTTGTCTTCAACATAGTGGCTCTGCGTTTTCATCACCAACGTTACAAGACAGTTGGGCATTGTTTTTAATTTGCGTTTAGGATGCCTTCCATTTCTTCATACCTGTGGTTTTCCCTTTTCAGGCACACACATCCTTTTGTTAAGAATACTTTATTAGGCATGCACAGCCTAAGTTTTTCCCCGAATTTTTCTAGATCTTGTTCTATTTCATTTTTTTCTTTATTTTCTTCTGCGGGCCACTTAAGTATTATACCAGGTCTACAAAACGTACCGTCCATTAATTTGAGGATCAATTCATTAGTTTCATCTCTTTCAAGTTCATCTCGCTGGATCTCTTGGAGAATGATTGCAATGATTTTCAATTTTCCTGCGTTCACCTGATGTTGTGCAACTCCCAAAATGTCTTTGTGTTTCGGTGTAAAATACTTCTCGGAGACGAGCATGATGAACAGTCGACTTTGCATTATTTTTTTATGAAAATTGTCTTCAAGTACTGAAGCGAGAAAAAAGTTATGGTGATTCAGTGCATGTTTACTCATTAATAACGATGTAGAGGGGATCAGTTATCTATATGTTCATAATATTTTAAGTAGGACTCTATAAAATCATAAAATCTTTTATTTAACTCTGAATGAATACACGCACGGATTCTTGTGCTTAGTGATATGTGTAGAAATCAGAAAATAATATTGTGTGAACAAACATACGTTATTATACGAAATAATGGGAAATTTTGTGTTAAGTCGGGAGTGTTTAAAGACGAAAAATGAATTAGAAAGGTAAATTACCTTCCGATTAAAATGGACTGTTATTATTATAATCAAAACATTTTTATTAACCGAGAATTAAGTATAAGTATGTATTATATCCACTTACTCCAGAAGACTTCTTCCCGCAGTACTATTTTGTAATCACCTCGATCTCTTAGGCGTTTAAGCTCGTTTAAGCACTTATTTAGCTTGTTCTTTTCATGCGCATTCCCTATTTCTTCTTCTGGCTCTTCTCCATCACCATTCCCTATATCTTCTTCTTGTTGCTCTTCATCTTCTTTGTGGTCATAATAGGAGACAATCGCGTCATACCTATATGAACCTGTAAAGAACAAACAACCCTGCGTGATGCACTTAGTGCAACCCACACCCCCATAGTCAATCATAGATACTGCCTCTGACTGTGAGTGGTTCATTCACACAGAAGACATTACAGAGATATGGTGCAAAAGAGAACACACAATTGTGAGTTCAATGTTTTGCTTATATATTCGGAGGTGGTATTTGGTTTTTTGGATATATACATATTAATATGGAATTAACATGGAATATTTCAGTTCTAAAGGTATACCTAGGTAAAAATGCATTCTTTTCTTAAAAAAATTCAGATCTCACATAAGATATCTGACTGGAGAAGTATGAAGTCAGGTGTCTGGCTACCATTTAATTGACTACCAAGTCTGTTGCACTGCTGCATTGTGTAATTTGCAGTGGTTGAATTGGCTAGTGCTCCTTTGGGCTGGTCAAAGGTTGGCTTTGATGAAGCACGGTTCTGTCATAAAAGTATCCATATGTCGGCAACTACCGTAGGCCTATCGACGAATTTGACATTTTGCATGCAAACGGTCGGTTTTGTAGTGCTTAAAATGAGTTAAGCAGTGTTTTATAAAAATGTTAAGCTCTGTCAGAATGACGCTAAAAAGACAGAAAGTGTCAGACGGATTATTGTGTTAAACGGAATTAATGTTCTGTACAGTTTTATAGAGTAATACCCAGACTGATGTACCTACACAGAAACCACGCCCAATGTATCGACATCTTACCACCAGGACACAGGACTCACTCTCCTTCAGGATATGCTGCTGCAATTAAACCAAAACCACCCAGTCCGTTTTGAATGAGGCACAAATTGTCACCTAAACGCGTTTTTCAAGGCTTTTAGCGAACACCAAAATGGTTTCAGCAGGTTAGAATATCAGGTGACCTCCGAGGAAGCCACTGTAAACAGCAAAACAGCGTAGTCTGTTTCTCTAATCCCAATCTAGTCCAATTACTAACTGGCCTAGACCACATCCCAATTGCATCGTTAATAACATAATGAGCATGTTAATTGACCAAGTAATTAATTGGTGAACTGCCAGTTTGTTTGATTGGCATGTGTAATTAAAAAGGGGATGACATAGATCAAGGCATACATTTTGAAACCTACCGGTGAAACAGAAGAAATATAGTTGTATTCATTATAAGTGGTTTGTAAAGTACATCCGAGGACGATACTTTTAAAAATAATTGCATAAATGTTTAAAGAAAAAGCAGATTGATTTAGTACTTAATATAGGATTTTTAAATTAAAGTTAAGACACCATTTGTTTGTGTGTTATTTATTTAGTTTTTGTACAGATTATAGGAAAAAGTCTGTTTATTCATGTTTTGTTCAGCTTTTTTTTTTTTTTTTTTTTTTTTGAAAATATTTTTTATCTTTAGGATTAATTACAAAAAAGAGTAAATTAATAGCTAAACCTCGTTATTTTGCAGGCTAATCTATTTAGTAATTTTTTTCAGGTGAAACAGATTATCATTCTTAAAGGAGGTTTTGATTAGCTTGATCACAGCCACGGCAACTTGTTGTCCATTTGAATTTTTCACAGCTGATTAATTAAAATTTAATAGATTAATTAATGTCACAAGATTAACCGACCTGAAATGTGTGACAAACCTTATCAAAGTCACTGTACTGTGATTAAAAGCTGCCTGAAAACGACTGTGAAATGAACAACAGTAGGTTGAAACGTTTGTATTTGGTATTATTTTTAACATGAAAATAGTTCTTGAATAATATTGCATTAGCATGATACCAATGGATTCCTGATCCTTATTTTCAAAATAAGCCTTCTTATCACTGTTTAATAATGTCATAGGTTAACATGTATATTTTTTCACTTGGATAAAATCCACGTTTTTGTTATTTAAATACCGGTTTACTCTTCATAAAATTTATACAAATATAAAACTGCTAGCTTTCCCTGCTATGCCCTTGATTAAACATCCTTTACGAGATATTTTAATTAATCTGTATTTTGATATGTCTTTTACATTGTATAAGATTTTAAAATTAAAATGTTTTCCCTTTAAATATTTATGCAATAATCTTTAAACATTAACGTCTCATGAATTCAACATTTTATACCTCGATCTATGACATCCCCTATTTCACTACACCTTTCATGCAAACAAACTGGCAGCGCACCTGTAAATTAATTGGACAATTTATATGGTCATTTTGCTTTTAACAATGCAAAGACCATATTGTGATGTGGTCTAGGCTGATTAAGTAGTAAACTTGATTGGGATCTGGCCTGTGACATGTCTACATATATATAATGTGCTCTAAGCCCGAAAGGTGTTTTTGCCAGTTATGTAAGCATACTTTGTCTTTTTATTACAGATTTGTCTTCTTATTACTTACAGCAACACGGTGAACAGCAAGCCAGTGAACAAAGGCAACAGATATCCTTCTTTGTAACACACAAAGCATCATCCCTCACAGGACCTGTCGGAATGAATAAAGAAAATATTAGCAACAATTAGGAATGTGTTTTCTCTTCAACTTATTTTGACAGTATGTTTTCATAAATAAACTTTCTTATTTCCTGAATGTATTTCTGAAAAGGTTTCCTACTTCCAGTGAAAGTGAAACAAACAAGTATTTCGATTTTTAACTATACCAACATAAACTTAAATAAATGCGCGAAGAGTAAAGTAATACGTTGTGTACACGAACATCACATGTCACTATTGCAATATTTGGGTAATGAGGCAAATTGCTATAAAATAATATAACAAACAGCATTGCCAGTTGGTGAAAAACATGTAGTTCCACTTCAGAACATAGAGGTTGTTAGGATGCTTCAGACACCACACTCGAAGACCGGTTGCAATCAGGATAACTAGTGTCAAGGCTATAACCCTCGCTATGATGGCCCATGGCAGGTAAGAGTTGACAATAGCTGCAATGATAGATGAAATAAAACGAATAATAAATGATGACAAACGTAACATGATGTGCTTTGATATCGAATGATTGAAAACAACAAATAATACAATTGATTTATCAATTATGATACCAATAAGTCGTTATAAAATAAGTCTACATTTTATTATTACAGTCTAAGAAATACGTAATGCATCAGTGATACATTCAGTTCGATATTTAAAACAAAAAAAACAAAAAACATCTAGTAGTCGACATTTGAACAATGAAAACTGCACGCCATGTTACATCGAATCTGTTTTTCAAGAACAGTTATATTTGCTCAAACAATACAAATACATTTACATTCACCATTTTTTCACTTATCCGTGAATTACCATTGCCTCATCCTCTGTGCGTGTGTGTGTGTGTGTTTGTGTGTGTGTCACCACCTACCAGTCGGCAACGGGTTAACATTCTTCACTTCAGCATTACATCGGTCTTCATCACTACAGTAGCATTCAACACCTTCAAAATCTTCAAACTTTCCCGTTCTGAAGTAACTAAAAAACCTCTCGAATCCTATCATTCTCAAATCCGTTGAGCCTTTTCGCGCGTAATCCCCAGTCATGTAACGACATCCGTCTCCCTCGGGGCGCTTTGCGGCACAATACCGTAAGCTATAGGCTACCGTATGGTTCTGTGAACATACAAATGATAAAATTTGCATAATAATAATAAGAAGAAGAACAATAATAATAAAAACGATTTATTTATCTAAATTTGTTCTTGTAGACTTTACAAGAATACAACGTGAATAAAAAATATAAAAAGGCTTGTAAACGAAATGTAGCATAGAGCTACATAATATTTATCACTTTTTGAGATTTTACCATTCTACAAGTACAGTTAAGTTTTTTACATTCAAAAAAAAAAAAAAAAAGAATAATAAATAAATAAATAAATAAATGTTAACGCCCCAAAACCCACCCCACCCACCCCTTTGATTACATCATTTCCTACGACATTTTTTGTTTAACTCACCTCCTGTTTATTTATATGTCGAAAAGAAAATCCCATCTGTACACAGCCTTCACTGCACTCGGCGGTCGTGTTAACAGTCGTGTGGCTGCCATTACAGCGTACGTCCCCTAGTGGGCCCAACACACTAACGCCATCTATCTCAAGGTATTTGCAGTCGATGCACAGAATGCCAAGAACTGAAATTTAACGCTGTGTTGATATCAAATTTAGCTGATATATATATATATATATATATATATATATATATATATATATATATATATATATATATATATATATATATGCCCCCCCTACCCCATCCGCGGAGTATAAATCTGGATCCGGGCGGTAACTAATTTTGATATGTGGCTCACTCCTTTGTCTGCTCGTTAGCAAGGATAAATAGCATGGGATTTTTGTTGATATGTTTTTGTCCCAGAAAGAATGGCGTTTGTATGCATAAAAGTATCTTTGCTACAATTTCACATGTTAAAGACACGGATCAGATGTTTACTAAACGTGACCCTTTTGTTTGTGACCACGTTAGAGATTACCTTACCTCTGCGGTTGAATGTGACGAGAAGAAACACTGCAGCCGTACACAGCTGTCGCATGCTGGGTGTTAAATGCATTAAGCCACAGAGCAAAGAAAGTGCATGTAGTACACGTTTTTACTTCGAATCAATGCGCCTATAATACCAGCCATTGAATAAGACATTGATTTACTATACAAATAAATTTAAGTGTCTTTTAAAACGCTCCCCCCGGTTGCAGTAATTGTGTTTTTTAGCGAAATAATTAGAACCAGTTAATCTACTTTATTGATTTTTGGTTTTTTACTATTAATACTTGACGAGGCGTATTTACATAAGATAACGACATTTTCTACCGGTTATTGAACATTTCAACCACAGTAGGTCGGTTTTCATGTCATTACCTATACGCTGTAGACAGCTGGTTGAGAACAATGGGTTCGATTTTTTTAACAATCATACTTAAGAGTCGGGGAAAATAAACACAAAGCTTCACACAATGTTTCGCCATACCATATGATGTTTATTCATTCAAAATTATTTCAATAACGTGCAAATAAAAAGTATAGTTGTAACATAAGTGGTATATGTCATTGGCAGGGAAATAAGAACTTTTCTCAACGATTCTGTGCAACCGATTTTCAGTTCCACATACAGCCTGTTTGATGCAAACATAGACAAAGATATATCAATATCACTCGCCCCCGTTGCCATTAATCTCAACATCTAATTCAATTTGTTCTTGGTGCAGTCCGTCTCTATCAGCTCTTTCAGCTTGGTTTTCAAGCATTGGCATGAAGTCCACGATGTCATTAAAAAACTTATCCATAGCGTCTTCATTGGGTTTTTCAAAACGCGGCTGTTTCATTAGTTCTCTTACAGACGCATATTGTTTATTTTGTTTCAGTTTGCGGTCGAAATCTTCCAAAATTATTGGAATTATTCTTATTTTGTCGTCGTTTAGCTTTTTCCTTGCTCTTCCACATTGGTCATTCACGCCTTCCATTTCAAAATACCGCGGTGAGACGATCATGATGAACCGACTGCTGGCTTCAATGCCAATGTCTTCCTTTTCTGGAAATACACAAAATGTACAAATTTGAATGATTTACTCTGATAATAACCACACACACATACAGCGTGTATTGTTTGAGAACAATGGTCGAGGGTTATTACCCTGTGCTTCAAACTCCTCTTTCAAACCCAAAAATAATGGAAAACTTTCAACATTAAAAAAGCAGCTTACGTATGGACTTCAATCTTATGGCTGCAAATAAACACATTTGTTAACTACACGAGTTGAGCATTTGTATCTTTCATTAATATGAAATTCCGCTTACGTCTTGCAATATCCCCGACCCTTTCGTCAGGTTTATATATTCTAAAACCACGGCGTTCCAACTCTGGTATTAGCCTCCCTTTCACAAACGCTTTGTCCTCTTTTGCGTACTCATTGTACGAAATAAAGGCATGATAGTAGAATCCTAGAAAATAGAGACGCTTGATATTAGAGCATGACAGAGTTAAATCATGGAGTTGCTACTCTCTCTCTCTCTCTCTCTCTCTCTCTCTCTCTCTCTATATATATATATATATATATATACACACGTAAGAATTAAGTTCAAATCTATAAATTAAAAGATAATAACAGGGTATCAACCAAAAAGAATTTAACCATTTTCTCACAATCAACAGACTGAAAGATTTTAATATTAAGATTTAATTTTAATATAAAGTTTTAATTCTTAAAAGACACAAACTTCATCCAACAAACAGTATTCAGGGTAAACCCTGCAGGCGCAAATGGTCTGTAAGCATTTCACCTTCTTAACTAACCCCTTTTTAGTTTTAACAACAATATTTAAACTCTCATAAATGTTCGACGTTACCAAGATGAAACAACATACGAATATTGTATATTAATCCATTTTTTCATTGAGAAACTCAACACGTTTTGACAGCACATATTACCACAACGTTTAACTTTCTGCAGAATGCTTCCTGGTGACTGACTCTCAATTAAAGAATTGCTTTAATTTACCGTCATAGATGTCGAATATTACCTTTTATTTCACCGGTTTCTCTCCACTCATCTGAAAGAGTTATGTCAGAGAGCGTGAACATAAATATGAATCATTAGAAATCTGAACATGGATATTGAAGGACAATTTTTGTATTAAATACGTTGTTATAGATACGAAACATTTGACGATGGCGGGAGTTTCAGACAGGGTTTAAGTCATACAGCATGCTGTTTAAAAACAAAAACATAATCTAAAAACAGTTGTCCGTCTTATTGAGTTTCCTTCAGTCTTAACTTCAATATCTGGTCTTAAACCACTATGAAATAAGAAATTAAAATAAAACAGAATCCATGTCTGTTTTTCTCTACCTTTTTCTCTACCAACGCGTTTGGACAACATTTGTCAGTATACAAAATGCAAATCACTATTGTCTTTTAACGCTAAGGGTTATCGTTAACGGCAGCTACATGTATTTTTTACCTTCGGCGTCTCCTTCTTTCAAATCATCTGGAACAATTCAAGCAAACATTACATAATAACAATAATAATAATAATTTTCCATTAAATGTTATAAAATTAAATTTGTTAAAATATTAGTTAAAATTATTTACAAAACTGATGACAAACACTGGGCGAATTAAAAGTTTTAGTCTTGCAACCTGAAACCTTCTAGAAAGCATTTTAGATACAGATGGTGGAAATGACAATGAGGCCTTCGAGCTGTTTTCTTGAAAATGAAATCATGAAAAATATATGCATGCACAATTAGAAAACAAAATAGCGAACAGCAATTGTCAAACGCCAAGATCTTATTCACGTTGAAATCAAAGTTGCAAATCTTGTAGTGCCTGACCACGGCGTGAGAAAATAAACTTACTATCGCCTTCAAAATTTCTCGTTCTTGCAGTCAACTTTACTCTAAGAATTATGCCTTTCCGTAGTGCCCAGATAAAAACTATTGGTGCTGAAACTATGATAACGATGCCCACGGAAGCACAAGGAATGATGATATTCAACGCAGGTCTCACACTGGGGATGGCTGCAATTAATGTAAAATAAATATAAACTAAGTTTAAAAACTGAATTCATACATATACACAATCCGTATTATTGCGATGTGTAATTATGTAGGACAGTATGTTGAATCGAATATTTTGCAAAGGAAAAACATTTGTTACATACTGCACCGGTATTGTTAGGCTACAGAGGTGTAAATGCCGACGATTTTCTTATACTTAAAAATTATATTGCATTTCATAAGGACAGTAGTTGACTTAAAATTATTTGAAGGCAGTTAAAGATTATTTCAACACCACCTCCTCACGTGGCACCATAGGGTTCCTTTGACAAAGATATCGAACAAACTTGTGGTGTTGCAGTTTTTGTTTCATCCTTTATTTCATTTCTAAAAATCATCACCGGTACTTGAACGCAAGGGTCAACTATTGGAATTATAGAGACACTATAGCCGATAATACAATGTAACTGTCAGCTGTAATCAAAGCAAAATCAAAAGAAAAGAGCCGCTTAGGAAAAACACACAATGCCTACCCGTTGGGAGTGGGCCCAAATTAATGATATCTTTATTACACATATCACCGTCATTGCAGAAGCATTCTTTTCCCTGGATGTCCACGATAGTGAAATACTGAAATATAGGTAGCAGTTTATGTACGTCCGAAACAGCTTTGTGACTCAGTTCCTGAAACAATGGACTCTGCGCATCATTCGACATATCCCGACATCCGGGGGTCACCAGGAGCTCCACTGCGCAGGACCGGAAGTAAATTGTCATGTTCACAGCTTTGTTTACCTTAAGAAAAAAATGACAATTTATAACAATTTACTCTTGATTTCTTTTTTCTCTTTATTCTCTTCGCGAGTAGGTGTTTCTTTAAAAATCGGTATGCCATTAATTACATGTATGTTGCAACCACTTCATATTACATGTAAATATGTATAGGGCTTACATGCACTTGTGGTAATGAAAACGCTTACTAAAATGTGAGCCAACTTTCATAATAAATAGAGCCAGCCAGACTTTGTCACCTCTAATCTTTTATCTTAGCAGGCCCAAATATATGAAAGACACATATTTACCGATTCGTACACGGTTACCATGCTAACTTGGAACTGGATACATGCTTCACTGCAATTTCTGGTGACATTTATAGCGGTCGGGCTGTCCATGCAGCGGGGGTCAGCTTGTAAAGCTCGGTTCATAAGGGCTATGGCACTCGTCTCATTACCCTCCAGATACATACAATCTACGCACTGTAGTGCTCCTTGAAAAAAAAAACACGATGATAAGACGTTAATATAAAGACCAGCTATAGTTCTATGCTAGATAAGAAGTGCCTTCTTCAGGACTTCTCCGTGGATTATTCTGAAATTTTAGCAGGCACACTTGTACAAGCAGGCACACAAGCAGAAAACTCGAACTTTAACAGATGTGGCAGCAACACCAGTCTAACAGAACCAGCTTGGTTGTTTGTGCATAGCATTAAAATCGGTCGTTTTATACAATTTGTTTTAAGCCATATTCGCCCAAGGTTCTAATGAAATGAAAACGAATATATCAAAATAGCCGTAATTAATAATCGCGGCAGAGATGTGGTTTCTCGGGAGAATTATGAGATTATCTTGGACAGAGAGAATAACAAATCAGGAAGTTTTGGAGAGAGCAAGAACAAAGCGTTTCCTTCTAAAAAGCATACGAAAGAGACAGTTGGAATTTTTAGGACACGTAATGCGGAAGGAAGAGCTGGAACATCTTAGTGTGACAGGCAAGATCAATGGAAAGCGAAGCAGGGGCGAAGCAGGGGATGGCAAAGATTAACCTGGGAAAACATGTCCTATGGACGTGCATTCCCTGGAATGTACTGTCCTACCCGGACCTAGATTCCCAGCTGTATCTATACGCAGCTAGGACATGTATTCCTGTCAGACATAATTTCCTTTCACAGTCTAGCTGGGAAAATACGTCCGACTAGGACATCGATACCTGTCTGCAGGACTTAGAATACTAAGTAATGGGTGTCCCCTGGACGTTAGACCCCAGGAAATTATGTCCTAAGACATGCGTTCCGAGGAATGGAAGAGCCAGGACATGCATTCATAGGACTTTGTGTCCGCAGGACATTCATTCCTAGGAATACATGTCCTACGGACATGCATTACGGCGGACATCCATTCCCTTCACACCGGCGGTATATGTAGCATTCATAGAACACATTCAGAACAGCGGACTATTAAAAAGCTTGCTGCTTAATTCTCGATTAGACACTGAATAGATTCCCAGCGGGGATTACGCAATAAGCATTCAAGTGGGGCGGCCATATTTGATCGGCCATATTTGATTCTGTTAGTCTGCTGTTCTGAATGCGGTCATACATGTACTAACAAACATGCAACTTTTTTTTATTTTTTAGTTTCGTGAAAAGCCTCACGTTTTTACTGGTACTTACCAACATTCGGAATAACTATAAAATATAAAAGACAAAAAGTCTGCCATAAGTTCATTGCGGATTCTTAGTTCTCACACTTTAAGAACTGACACTGCAGCAAATTTATTCTTGTACATGTACTAGTATGCGTGCGCATATTGCAATGTAAATATCGACTAATACCAATCGAAAAAAACTGAGCGCGGTTTGAAAAACGAACTTCATTCTGATCGACCCGAGAGGTTTACAATTGCGCAATCAATAAAATGATTGTGGGCCAAATTGGTCCGCTTTCGCATTGAAATCTACGTAAACATATACCTGTCAGGGACCATTCCCAGACCCTATCGTACTAGCCGTGTATCTATCTATCTCCAAGGGGATTCTCGCTAAATTGCAATCAACTTAGGCGGAACAGATGTCTGGCACGCCTACTGGAGGTGCTAGGGGGTTATTAATTATCGTATAGCAGCTTCAGTAGACTTGCCAGACAGCTAAGCCGCTTAAGCAGAAAGTAATTTAGCGAGAAAAGCCTAGGAAATGGATCGATCCTGTTAGATCGATCTAGGTGTGGGAGCCAAGTCTAATTCTTAACAATGTTTACGAAAGAACTAAAACGTCTGAAGTAAGTCTTTCAGTTTGATGATCGATTTGCCTCCCCACCGTGCTGGGTTGTATTTGATCGTTAAAATTCCACTATCAATGACAGAACGACCTTCGGGTCATGTTATCTTATACGTTCAGAGCGCTGAAGGTTTTATTTCGGTTTTTGTTTCATTCGCAGACAAATGACAAATAACTTGATTTTCGGTTGAATTACTCCTCGCATTAAGTCCGACAATTTCCATTGTGCAAATTTGTTATTCAAAACCACATTATAAATATGGTTGGAGACTTTCATGAGTTGTCTACGGGATTTAATATGTAAGATTCAGATTCTGATCTTAAAACTTATATGTAAGATCCTGAAAATATCTATCCATTCGTTCACCCATTTGTTATAGTGAGAAATGACGACAGCAGTTTGGAGCTTTCAAACGTTTATTCACCGACTCTCTTTTTCACAGAATGTACAAGTTTTTATACACTATTTTCCATTCTCAAATTTCCCATTCTCATGTTACAAAACTCTATTCAATATTTCCTAATTTAGTAATTTAAATGAGACTTGTTTATGATTTAAAATATTTAAAATATTTTCCGAATTACTCATCTTGGATCCTGTTCAATTCAAAAATGCATGAGTTCTACACGTGTGTAACACGCGCAAATTGATAGAAAAATTAACCAATCAGATCCAACTATATCGGACTCTGAAACGTTCGATACTTTCTTACTTCTAGAACAATATCTACACTTACTGACACTCAAAGAAATCTACTTGTACTCAATAACTTCCTACACATTTCATTCAGTTTACATTGTTTTGTAATTGACGAAATTGTATGTCATTTGCTTTACAACACATTTTTCTAATCTAATTGGTGGATCCCCGATTTATACCGGTATTCAACAAAGTATTACTTAAATCATGGTAGTGTTTTTATTACTTCACTCAATCTAAATCAACACGGTTTTAAGCTCATTCAATAACAACACAAAACGCCATGAGACGGAATAGAGACAATTATAATCACATTTGTTAGGTTAAGAACCAACCCAGCATCAGCTACATGTGCATTTACAGTGTATGTTGCACAATCTCTACGCATCCTGTCCTATACGATATTGAAATATTTGAATGCAAATAATTTGGCTTTCGTTAAAAAAGGATATAATTGTAGCGGAGAACTTATTGACACGGAATGCTAACAAATAAACACTCCCAACTAAAGCATCGGTCCTGCAGTTTCAAACAAAAAACTTCCAGTGACTGACATCTTTGTTTCAGTACTCTCATGGACAAATGCACACATATTACCCTATCAGTATTACTGATTAATTAACCAAATGATGGATTGAAACCAGAATATGAAACCCAATTCTCGCATATATATAAACAAATGATGGATTGAAATAAGAATAAGTAGCCCATATCTCCCCTATTCATTTACAGAATTTGGAGTTTACTCAGTGATTAACAGAAACATGAAATAGTCAGAAAATTAACGAACGTAGATATTTCTAAATCTTCAAGATGCATGTATATATAGAATATATTATCTTTGTTATAAGTGCTACGGGATGAAGTATTTTGTGATGCAACAGTATGGTCCAAAAGAGATAGGCAGTGCATAAAAGTCACATATACAGGTAAGTGCACATGAATAAACTATACTTGAAACTAATCGTCATCTTAATACAAACACCATAACATGCAGTACGTGGCAGCCATTAGGGTGGTTAGCAACAGTTCCAGACTGCACACGCCGCAGCTGCTTGAAGTTTGAGGTTTGTGTGTAGCAGTAACAGCACTTGAACTGGTCTCTTTAATTCCTTTGGTAGATTTCGAAGACAAAGTCGTCGTGGGATGTGTGGGTTTTGTAGACTTAGCTGTGATCCTAGTTGTAGATGACTTTGTGGGCGTGGTCGTGGTCGTAGATGATTTGGTGGGCGTGGTCGTGGTCGTAGATGCACTGGAAAGTGTTGTCATCGGTCGAGTACATCCATTTTGGTTACATGTGCAGACTTCAGCTGATGTGGTATGGCTCTGAAGGCCGGCGCCAGTCAAGGCATCCAATGTAAACAACCCAGTCATGGCTGCGTCACTGTCTGTCAATCTTGAACATCCGTCAACTGATTTACTCGCAGAGCATAATCGCTCCGTCAGCTTCATAGTGACTGTCACAGATAACTTAGTTAAAGAAAGAAAATATATCGAAAAATAAAAAATCCACTTAAGATCAAACAACTGCCAATCTTTTTTTGTTAGTTTGTTTGTTTGCATTCTGTAGGAGAACAAAAATAATCAATATAGACTTTTATTGGTGGCAATAAAGTTAATTGACCGTTTTTTCGTTTACATTACTGTATTCCAGTTAATGTTCTTGTGAAAATTTATTTTACTGCACCTCCCCACATTTCACATATCCTATTTCATAACGGTTTCAGGCAACGGAATACAAAGCAAAACATATCTATTTAAAAATGTGCTTGGAAAGTCATGTTTGCTTGTTGACTCGTTAGTTTTTTTTTAGTTTGTTTGTTTGTATGTTTTATTTTTCTTTTGTTTGTTTTTTCTTACCATAGACATCGTCGCATCGCCCACAGAGCTCAGACAGGACCCGCGGCAGCTGACAGTCTTTGTCTGAGATGGATTCGACACACACTTTTGGTCCATTTCCCCCAGAAACCAGTTACCAAGAAGTCCTAGGACTAACTGTGCCATGGAGTCGCTGGACGTATACTCCATGTACTCACATTTGGGACATTGCACTGCTGGGACTGTAAAGATTTGCATAAATAATGGATGAATACCAGCAGTATATATATTAATGAAATAATTGATTTAAAAAGAAACAAGTAATCAACATTTTTGCAAACGAATGAAAATGAACATTATGCATTCAAATAAAACTTCCGTAAACATTAATTGTAAATCATACTAATGGAAGAGACCTATAACAGTATGACAAAAAAGTTATAAAAATGTCAATGATGATACATGTATTAGAATAATAATAACTATTATTAATATTGCAATCCCTACCTTGTGGTAATGTCACGAGACTCGTGGTATCCACATTACATCGGTCTGAGTTACACACACACAGGCGTCCCTCCATGGCGGTCACAGTGGACACGCTGTTCGGGAGGATGTTCTGAATGTCCTCCAGATTAGCCAAGGTCAGGTTCATACACCCTTCCTCGACACTGGTCGTTGCTAAGCAACCGCGTACCCAGTCACGTGAGTTAAGAGCGGCATTGGTGTCCTAGAGAGATACATATTGGGGATAGGTACACTGTACATCGAAATAATTACACATCCTCATATCCTCTTTTGTATATTTTTATCAGTATTTATTAACAAATATTATTCATTTATGGGTTGCCACAAGAAATTTACATGAGCTAAGTCAAGGTCGCATACATTTTTGTAATATTTGCAGTTTTGACTTTTAAGTATAAATATTTTCACTGTTGACGTCGATAGTATCCATCAATATGAATAGAAATCAAATATGTTTTAAAAGTTTTATAAAACATCAGTGCAAATATTTCACAAAATACGGGGGTCACAGACATGACCAAAATGTTCATTTTTTTTCTGAAATGGCACTTATCTCGTATTATTATTATTATGAATATCGAGATAAGCTCTGGGGAAGAGAGAGAAAAACAAATAAATAGATTGGCGCCCTTCTTACTGCTCTACCCCTGTTACCTGCACTACCAGACTTGAGACACCGTGGATACTTACTGTCTTTGTTAAGGACTGGGAAACCCTCAGATAATAGCAGGACCCACTGCACTCTCCAAAGCTTGTCGCCGCAGTGGGGTTATCCTCACACCGCCGGTCGTAATTCCGGTAAAGGGCTTGTGAGAGAGGGTCCAAGTTGTAACCAAATGACTGGCAGATAAGGCATTGAATGGCTGTTCCTAGTTTTGACAAATATATAAATTCAAAAAAACTAACAAGTCCCTTGCTCTCAAGGTTCTTCCTCAAGTTTATAAGTTTTTAAAGGGGATTAAATAAACCCAACTCTTCTCCATGCACCCTTTACATTTATATACGACTGGTTAGTTGTGCAATAAAATAAGATAAAATAAGATTAAATAGTATTAAATTGAATTCAATAAAATAAATAAAATTTAAAAATAATTTAGATCAATCGCACCTCTCCCCCTCCCCTATTTTTTACTGTATTTGTACTATCTAAAGGCAAAACTATTTGGTCTATGTACATGTAGCATGAAAGTGCACAAATACATGTAATTTACCTGACTGCACAAAACACAGGAGGACAATCAAGCTTTGGCCAATAGAAGCCATGTTGAGACGACTGCACTTTCTGTAGTTAGTCAATCAACATAGAATAATGCACACAGTGTTGTTTTACTTGCCTCGTGTTTGAAAACAGGAAAAAAAACGCATGCGCATTTTT